ATCTGACATGCTGGTCAGTGTCTGCCAGTGAGAAGTCTGAGTTTCCGGGGAAGTTTGGAAGACTACTGACTTCCCAACTAAAATAGTTAATTCTGTGAGACCCAGCCAAAATGGGTGAAAAAGCAGAGCAAAGAAAATAAAAATTGTCCACATTTTAGTATATTTGTTTATATAGATATCAGCCTTATTTGGTGCAATTTCTTCATGTCTGTGCAAAATAGTAACAAGTTTGCTTTTTTCCCAAAACTCGTATTTTAAAAATCATAAAATAGCCTTTTTGAATAGCAAATGTGGTGACCCTTACTTTTGTAGTTTCTTGTCTGGGAGCACAATGAAATATTCTAGGGTGATGGAAATGCTCTAAATCTGGATCTGAAAGCTTGTTAAATGGGTGGATATAGATGTAAAAAGTAATTGCACTGTAACTTAAGATTTCTGTAATTTTACTGTATTTAATGTATACTACAGTAGAAAAAAAATGAAAATGGAAAAAAAATAAGTAGAGGGAAAAACCTAGATTTTAGGCCTTGAGATGCATGGTAAATGATTGGGTGTCTTAATTTATGAGCTTTGAGGCCCAGGCAGGGACTGATTAGATCTTTACACTATCTTCCTATTTGCTCAGCTCATGACATGATTTAACAAACTGAGGAGCTGTTAACTCTCCTCCTTATTATTGGCACCCATTGGGTTCCAATATAAAACCTAACTAGAAAGGAATTATTATTTTCTACATAATAGAAAAACAAAGAAGAAAAAAAGTTATCCACTGGGTTCTCAGCTGAGAAGAGATTCAGGGATAGTATCATGCTTGTTAGGAATTTCTCTTAGTGGGGTCTCTCGTGATGTTAATAGTTTTGACTCCCAAAATGTTGAGCTCCTCAAGGGTAGTTAGATCTGCCACAAAAGCAGCAATAATTGTGTCTGAGATCTCTGTTTCCTCAAGAAATATGAAAAGGTCATTTTGCAAAACAATCAAATTCAGCAAGTCTATGATTAGGAATGTTAAAGTTGGGTTGCTTCCAATAACAAACCAATATATAGTTGAATTCTGTGATGTTCTTAAAAGAACATGTTCATTTAAGCTGTGTTCATTTTCATTTTTATTATTTTTAATTTCTTAAAAGTAAACTTTTCAAAATCATAATGAAATTTCCAGATTTTCTGGTTTTGATTCACTGAAACAAATTATCCATATGCCATCTAATTATTTTCACATAATGAATGTTTTTTAATTTAAATTTTAATTTTTTGAATTGTAAATTAACAAATTATAGTTATATATGATTATGGGGTACAAAGTGATGCTATGATTTATGAATACAATATGGAGTTATTAAATCAAGCAAATTAGCATATTCACTCCCTAAAATACTTATTATTTTTTTATGGTAAGAACACTTGAAATTTACTCTCTTAGCACTTTTGAAATGTACAATGCATTATTATTTACTACATTCACCATGCTATGCCATATATCTCTGAGAAGGAAAAATTAATTCCTTCTGTCTAATTGAGGCTTTGTGTCCTTTGGCAGCACTATTCGTAATAGCCAAGTTGTGAATGAACATATTTTATGATGAAATATTTATTTTTTCTTTAAAAAATAGAAAAATTTTCATTATGGTAATAATAATTTTAAGCTCATAGACCCTTTTGAGGTTTTTTTTGCCCTTAAAAAGATGTCATTTTTTTAACCAGAAATAATCATTTTGATTCTTTTATGCTGTCCTTATTTCAAAGCATTCATGGCATTATTGTATATAAAATTTCATTTCCAAAAGAATAAAGTCTTTATGCTGGGAAACAAAAACTAAATACCTGTATATTTATAGCTCTATCTATAGATGAAATCTATAACAGACAAAAATATTTTCCTGACTAAAATGTTACTTTTAAGTCAGTTGTTTAGAATTATAAGCCACAAATTTTCCTTTAAAGGCATGTTGGGGTTCTCAGAATAGCCCATAGAAGCTAGCTAATTTATTTAGCAATGAATGCGAAATGCTATATGTTTATGGCAAATTTTTAATAATCATGATATGATTGTAATAGAAAAAAGTTACTGAATAAAATGGAATTTTATTTTACCTTTCAGTTACTGTTTGAAGAAAGGCATGGCTAATTATATGAAGATGAGAAAGCTGTTATGAATAGTTTTTATGGACATTTTCAAATAATTTATACTTGTCAATTCAGATAATGAAAGATAAAAAATAAAAACAAAATATGAATCATCCCACTAACCAAAAATATCTAATCATAATATAATGGTGTGTTTATTTCCAAGACTGAAAACACGTTTTTACATTGTACTGTTTTCTATCTTTCTTTTTCCTATCATTATAAATAATTTTGATGATTGTCAGCATGGATTCTTTGTCAAATCTGACTTCAAATCCCTAACCTGTCTTTTCTTTAAAATACATGTGCTAAATTTTGTTTTGTTTGCTTTTAGTTAAATATATTGTAAAATAAAGCAGAGAAAGGAAAGATAAAGGAACCAGGAAAGCAGAGCAAGAATAAGCATGACAGCAAAAGAGAGTTTAGGTAACAGTGTGAGAAATTCAAGGGATCTTTGGATATAAAAGTTGTTGGAGATAAGATGAACAGAATTTGAAGCAGTCAGCTTTAGAAAAATAGGGATTGTAGTATTAGGATCAAATGAGAATAAGCATTAGCTTACATACCTCATCATTTGATTGATGACAAACCAATATTTAGCAAGTTTAAAGTCTTGTTTGGGAGGAGAGATAGTTTGGGGCAGTTCTAGGAAGGAACTAAGATTTCCAAGGAAATCCAAATTTCCTTCCTTGAGTCTTGGAGATACAGAAAAATGGAAGAGCAAGAGGTATGCATCATTCCCTTAAGGATTAAAAAGGGAAATGGTGGAAATGAGATGGTAGCTCAATGAATATCATGATATAAGGATCAGCCAGAGTTGACTGGAGTTCAACAAAGAAAAGAGGAAAGTTGACTAGAGTAGCCCTTACTGGATGCAGAGAGCTAAGGACTATGCATAAACCATCATTTTTTTTTTTTTAGTAAGATACTGAGTAGTTTGTTTTTTCTTTTCTTTTTTCTTTTTTTATTTCCATAGGTTTTTGGGGAACAAGAGGCATTTGGTTAGATGAGTAAGTTATTTAGTGGTGATTTGTGCGATTTTGGTGCACCCACTACCCGACCCATATACACTGAACCCAATTTATAATCTTTTATTACTCACCTCCTTCCCACCCTTTCCCCCTGAGTCCCCAAGGCCCATTGTATCATTCTTAGGCCTTTGCATCCTCATAGCTTAGCTCCCACTTATGAGTGACAACTTATGATATTTGGTTTTCCATTCCTGACTTACCTCACTTAGAATAATGGTCTCCAGTCCCATCCAGGTTGCTGCAAATGCCACCAATTCTTTCCTTTTTATGACTGCATAGTATTACATCACATACATGTACCATGGTTTCTTTATCCACTTTGTCCTTTTTATGACCTAACCCTGATGCCACTTATTTGTTGACTGATGGGTGTTTGGGTTGGTTCTATATTTTTGCAGTTGCAAATTTGTACTGCTATAAACATGTGTACAAGTATCTTTTTCGTATAATAACTTCTCTTTCTCTGTGTGAACACCCCAGTAGTGGGATTGCTGGAACAAATAATAGTTCTATTTTTAGTTCTTTTAAGGAATCTCCACAGTGTCTTCCATATTAGTTGTGCTAGTTTACATTCCCTTTAGAAGGGTTCCCTTTTCACCACATCCATGCCTACATCTATTACTTTTTGATTTTTTTTTTATTATGGCCATTCTTGCAGGAGTAAGGTGGTATCACATTGTGGTTTTGATTTGCATTATCCTGATCCTTAGTGATGCTGAGCATTTTTTCATAACTTTTTGGCCATTTGTATATCTTTTAAGAATTTTCTATTCATGTCCTTAGCCCACTTTTTGATGGGATTGTTTGTTTTTTTCTTGCTAATTTTTTGTGTTTATTGTAGGGTCTGAAGAGTAGCCCTTTGTCAGATGTATAGATTGTGAAGATTTTCTCCCACTCTGTGGGTTGTCTGTTTACTTTGCTGACTGTTCCTTTGCCATGCAAAATAAATAAAAACACAAAGTGGGGAAAGGATGCCCTATTCAATAAATGGTGTTGGGGTAATTGGCTAGCCACATGTAGGAGAATGAAACTGGATCCACATCTCTCACCTTATACAAAAATCAACTCAAGATGGATTAATGACTTAAATGTAAGACCTAAAACTATAAAAATTCTAGAAGATAACATCGAAAAAACCCTCATAGACATTGGCTTAGGCAAGGATTTCATGACCAAGAACCCAAAAACAAATGCAATAAAAACAAAGATAAATACGTGGGATTTAACTAAACCATCATCTTGAAATGGGTCTTTCTAGCTCAAGAACTATTTGCTCCAGAATTATAAAAATTATAGAATGAATGCTAAAATATATTGTTAACCCATCCATGTAGTAAATGAGATGACTGTGGAGTTAAGCATTTGCCCATTTGATATAAGAAGAACCAGCACTCATCACAATCAGTTTTACTTATTACATCATTTTTGTCCTTTTAGCGAAGTCCAAACTGTAATTCTAAAACAGTATAAACTTTATATTTTTGGACATCAGTGTGAATAAGAGCCTATTGTTGTTGTTACATTATATCTCAGTGGTCTTGTTTATTCTAGTACAAAGTTGAGAACAGCACCATTGTTAGGGAAGGAGGGAGAGTCAGAGGGTGGAAGATGAAAAATAGAGAGTACAGAGGTTGTGGTGAAACACTACAATACTTTTAAAAAAATTATCAATGACTGCTCTTCATTTTAAAAACAAAAAGCACTGCCCTGAGTTGGAGCTTAGATTTCACTATTTGAATCAGTGTCACTTTGCTTCATGCCAAATGTATTTTTTTTGTTTTGTTTCTCAACAATTGGACTTCATAGATTTAAAACTGATTTTTATTTTTTTGTTTGTTTGCTAAGACTCACCTTGACCTTATCCTGTCCCATGGACTTGAAGAACTTTCCGATGGATGTTCAGACCTGTACAATGCAGCTGGAGAGTTGTAAGTCACCACTGTTGAAATGATTCCCTGCTTGTTTTAACTAATGATCTGGTTCTTTTAGTAATTAAAGAGAATGGGCCTTTACGACTCATTCCCTATCTACTGACAAACCCCCAGTGTCCTATGGAAAGACAAACCAAAGGTGTGTGTGTGCATATGTGTGTGTGTGATATAAAATCTCATTATCAGTACAGCATAGACAACCTTTCAAAGTAAAATGCCAAATAACTTGCCTTTTCTCAAAAAACAAAAAAACAAAAAAACAAACAAACAAAAAAACCCTGATTTAGTAAGCTTTTCTTTGAAATGAAAATGTCTCCTGGGAAAATTAAAATTTTTAGTCATTAAACCTTTATAGTGAATCACTCTTTAACCAGAAAATTGAATTTCTTTTCATCTTACGCCCATGTAGACCATCACCTCAAAAGGAATTCAAGCAAATACTTTTAACTTCTTGGTTTAGAAAAATAGTATGTGTAAAAAGACTTATCTATTACTTAGAGAGAGGTAGTGATGGGGTTGGTTTCATTGTGATCATTTAAAATCACTATAAATTTCCCTTGAAACATCCCACAGAAATAAACAAAATGATGAAACCTCTTTAAGAAGTTGTCATAGATAAAATGAAAATGTCTGATTTAAAATAGGCTTTATGTATTCATTTTTTCCCTATTCGCTACTTCTCTTGAGAAGAAAGTGGAGAAAAACGGTTTCCTTACATAATGACTGCTTCTTTGTGCCTTCTCTACTGCTCCACAATCTCCCCTGCCCCAACTCAACACTTTTATTTTCTCTGTAAAACAGTAACCATAGCTGTCAACGGATGCTCATCCAAGGCTTAGAAAATTTGAATTAGTAAATATGCTGAGTCCTGGCATGACCTAGAAATAATGAAATCAAAGAAACATGATGTTATTACCACTAACTTTGTATGTGAATGGTGGGAATTATTATTTTTCCCTTTTCTACCCCAATATTACTTTCTTCATCCGCACAGTTTTACCTCTGCTGTCTTCCCCATGCTAGGGCTTCAGGTGTCTGACAAGTACTTTTATTATGGTGGCCAATGAGAAGCTCATCAAACAATAATAACATGGGGTATTTTGTGAGCTTTGATTATTTATTGGAGGTTTCCAAGGTGTACTCATACAGAGTTGCAGTGGAAGAGATAGGGTTTGCCATTCTCTTTGTGGACCATCAATGCTTTTATAGGGCCTCTTTGTATCTCCTTACTTTCCATGCTCTTACTATTTTTTTTTTTTTTTTGGCTTTATGTTTAAAAGGTAGTTCAAAGAAAGAGGAAAGTAGATTACAATTAAACTTGCCATTGATTTCTGGGTAGCTTTGGTGAGTCATTATCTTGTAGTAAATAAGAATAAGAATCTGTAAACTTAAGAAAAAAACATGCTGATGCTTTTGGCCAGCCAAGACCACACCTAATATCCTCTGTCCTCATCCTTATTTGAAAAATTCAAATATGACACACAAAGGGAGAAGGTAGAGAAAGGGTTCATGAAAGAAGAGTAGGCTTAATTTCTAGAGTAGAGAAAAATCCAGAAATAATTGACAGATGATGACCTACCTAGCAGGAGCTTGGAGACTAAGAGCTAACTTTGGATTACCAAACTGATAACAATCTTACTTTGGATGGTTCGAGTCATATAACAATATGATCTTTCCTAAGAGGGAATCTGTTTTACTTCATATTAATAATTGTGATGAGTGGGCCCATTTAGCAAGACACTAGAACAAACGAATATTCTTAATTTGCATATTCTACAATTTCCTCTTAGGTTATCTGCCTATATTCTTCCCCATTTGCTAAAGTTGAAGGACGTTAACATAAGCCTTCTGAATGGAAAGCTAATAGACCCTAGGAAAAGGACCAAGTCTGTAATGGGAATGTTTTAGGCAGGCCTGTGATGAATTCATTCTCATTAAAAAAAAGAATGGTTTTCATTTGAAGTACTAAGACTGGCACTGTGAGTTGGATTGTCTTATTGGGTTGTAAAAGACTCAGCTCTTGCAAATAAAAATCTTCAAAGAATTTTTATGTTTGTTTACTTGTTTGTTTTTCAGAAAGAGTTAGTGAATAAAAAGGCAGAAACAGAGTTTTAGATTTCATTCTCTCATTACACAGAAAAAAAAAAACAATATATAAATAGCTTTTTGTCTTAAATTTCTTTGGCTCCAATGACATAGAGTTGTAGTGATGATTGCAGCTCTTAAGAATGCTCTTGAATTGACTGAACACATGTCTGCTTTAGATCGTTTCCTAATGTTTCTTTACATGGATAGACTTTCAAGCTTTCTTGGAAAGCCACCTTCAATTTTCACTATGATTTCTTTACTTCAGTTGGGTACACGATGAATGACCTAATATTTGAGTGGTTAAGCGATGGCCCAGTGCAAGTTGCAGAAGGATTGACCCTGCCCCAGTTTATTTTGAAAGAAGAGAAGGAACTTGGCTACTGCACAAAGCACTACAACACCGGTAAATTTTTTGTTGGTTTGTTTGTTTGTTGTTGTTTCAGCTGTTAAACACAAGTAAACTCCATTTGCAGCTTGGAGTATGTATCTCTTACTCTAATTGCTGCATATTTACCAGGCAAATAGACATATGTGGCATGGACCTGATTTATCTCAAAACTCTCTCAACAGATAAGATTCCTATACTCTTTGGAATAGATCAGCAAACACAAGAGGTTATTCCTCCATAATACAGAGAGAAGGAGAGAGGATTTAGGATCTTTTTCTGTTCTCTAGCTGACCATCTGTTGTTAAATGAGTCTGAGGAAAGGTGTAGAAAACCTCATTAGGGGTGCAGAAAACATGAATTCTGGCTCCTTTCTGGCATCCACTCTTGCCATTGGATCCTTAGGTTAATTTGCACCTCCTGCCTAACTGCCTTAGTGTGTAGTGGAAAAGAGGGACAATAACATAGGTCTTTGTAAACCCAGAAATAGAGCTGTTGTGCTATTCAGTCCTGGATAGTAATAGAAGTTTGGATGAAAGTCAACTGGCAGGAATTCAGCTGGCTCTAAAGTCATGTGTTATCAGTAGTGGTGACAGACACATGGGGTTGTGGGGCAGGTGGTGAAGGGAGAACTTGAGGTGGTAGCAACAGGCATCTGCTGTTATCTGGAAGATTATACCTTTCTAGAAAAGTTGATGGTTTTTCCCAAGAAAAAACATGGTGTTCAATACCATGCTAGCTGATCATGAAGAGGCAATAAAGACATGATGGTTTGTCCAGTGACTGGTCTAGGTCCCTTGCTGAGGAAAATAGTTTATGCACACTTGTTCCAGCAGTCAACAGTGACGCCTTATGAAGTAACCAAAACCTGATTCCAAGGTTGTTGTTTTTTTTCTTCTGACCAAGAATAATTCAACACTATATCTTATAAATCTTGTAATCTGTATGGACTAAGCAAAATTACCTTCTGGAGTTCTAACTCCAACTCAATTAAGAAGAAAAAAGTGGGAAGATATAGCAATATCTATCTCTTAAATGGTAAAAGTTTTAATATCATTATATGAACTCCTTTTTACAGGTAAAGAAACACTGTACATAGTTCCTAGGCATATGCTAAATGTCCTGAAGCAATTACCCAGAAGGCTAGGAAATTTTTACAATGAGTAGATTATACACTGGCTTATACAAATGTACATTTTTCTCTTGCAGTTAATAACACAATGATAGATACACAGTTCTTTAAGCACTTGTAGTTTTATGTAAACTGTACTACTTTGGAGGGAATGGCTTCAACTATTACATAGTGTATACCACGTGTTATGTATTATATGCTATATAGTATATGCTATATGTATATGCTATTAACATATAATTTATGCCGTATATTACATATAACCCCACAAAATTTGAATATTTTATTTCCACTGGTCATTTTCTGTCAGTCTTGCACACTTTGAAGCTCTGTCCAAAACAATCAAGCTGCAGCAAGCACAGATTTTAAAAATTGAATATGTCTTATGGTTTTGGTCCAGTGACTCTTTAGATCACACATTCTCACACTATTATTATCACTATTATTTCACAGTAATTATTTCTATTACTGGTTCAGTTAGAGAAGAGTTGAATTGGTTATATAGGGTGAACATTTTGTGCAATCTTCCAAATCCATCTGCAGAAGTCTTTTTTAGCAACGTGGGATAATGGAATTGGAAATATAAATTCAAACTGGACTTTAAATGATCATTCCCTCCTTCTAGGAAAGTTTACTTGCATTGAGGTCAAGTTTCACCTGGAACGCCAAATGGGATATTATTTGATCCAGATGTACATCCCAAGCCTGCTTATAGTAATTTTGTCCTGGGTTTCCTTTTGGATAAACATGGATGCAGCCCCTGCCAGGGTTGCACTGGGCATCACCACAGTCTTAACGATGACCACCCAGAGTTCAGGCTCCAGAGCATCTCTGCCAAAGGTAAGAAATCTTGCTTGACAACAGATGGTTTTGGTCCAACTGTTCCAAAAGGTCTTGTGGGCTGGACAGTTCTGTGAAGACAGAAACACTGGCCACCCTATGGCATTGTCATAGATATGAATGCAATAAGAGTTCAAAAAGCTGAGTTTGAGAGAATCAGGGCTCTGGAAACATGGAGAACCCTCAAAATCATATCATTTAGAGGAAAGGGAAAGTAGTATTGAGAGGGAAGAGAAATGAGTAGAGGCAGAAACATAGCTTAAAGATTCTAGGAAGACCTTCAGTGCTTTTGACCTCGGTTGTTTATGAGCCATGAAGCTTGCAAGAATTGGAATAAGACTATTGCAATTTGTGCCATGTTTTCAAGTATTTATTGGTGAAGCTACTTCAATTAATATGTTCAATGAAGTCATTTGTAGTAATAAAAATTTGAATTAGGCTCCTAGAAATTTACACAGAAGAGCAGTATCAATGAAAATATATAAGAAATAAATGTACAATATTAGGGTTCAGCAATCTGATATATGAAATATTGCTATGCTTTAATTTCCTTTAGTGGCTGATATGCTACTATTTTTGAGTGACACAGTTTCCTAGAGAAGGAACAGTAGAGTCATCCAAAATGGTGAAAATTCCTGGAACTGTGGTATGGTGGCAGAGGAGTGTGGGATCAATATCAGGGACATATAGACATTTTGTAGCACCTTAAATGATAATCCATAAGTAGCTGTGTAATCTATTTTTATATAAAGCAGGCCATCCGCATTTGTAAATATTGCTTAAGCAAGTAATGATAAATGTCCCACGTGTGAAATGCTCCAGCACTCCTTAAGTGTGACTTTGTGTGCTTCCCCATTCCACTGAGTACACTGAGCCATTGGCTTCAAGTTTCCAGAAGTATGAATTCAATTTAGGATTCAGTGTACATTGTCTCACACTGGCTGAGTAGTGTCTCCAAAATCCATTTCTGGAAAATAATTGAAATGTAATCTCATATTTTTGCTGGCTTGAGTTTATATTTGGTTGTGCTGAATTTGACGTAATGAGAAATGTTAGATCATGTTCCACATTATCTCCCATGTCCAGAAGATAAGATGACATATGGAAGAGGTCTGTGGTTATAATAGAGGTGGGCTGAATATTGGAGAAATAGTTACATAACTTCTTAACTCCCATGCCTCCAAAGGTAAATATTAGGTTTTATATGCTCATAGAGAAAATAATGGAGATATCTCTAATACTTTTTTATCTTCTGCAATAGTAAATGGTATAATGTACCTGTACTGTTTTTCTATTGGAATATAGTTGTCAGAAATAATGACAGCATTTTTTTACTTATATAATAAAAAATCAATTTTATTTAATAGCACTTCTAATCCACTCTGTGTCCCTCCCAAACAGGTTCATTTGCTTATTTTTTATTAGTTATTAGCCATACCATTAAACCTCAGGATGCACAAACATATATTTTACAATTTAATAGACAGCTAAAGTACTGGTGACAAATTATGAGCATATAATGTCAAAATATAACACGTTTAGCCTCCAGCTGTTCATTTCTATGAAAAGAGTAGTCATTTATCTTCAAAATGGGAGTTTGAGTTTTTAATTCATTCTATAAAGCTGTTATGATTCTGCATCAATGATCAAAACTATTACTAAATAAATGTTCAGTGATCAGTGATCTTTGTATGTGGAGGCAATCAGGAACTCAGATAAACCAAAATAGAGTATAATCAAACATCATTTTATACTTGGCTCTGAACTCATAGTGATTATCTTTCTGCCACCATTAGATTCATCTTTCTCCGTGTACTTTTCTTATGCTGTTATTAAACATGGTTGGCTTTCAACTGACCGTGAGAAAATGTAACTTTTGTGGATGATGGTGTGAAACAAACATGGGATAAAAAGTGAGTCATGGAAAATAAAGAATTGGTCATACAGTTACTTACACATGTACATGCATGTGTAAATACTCTTTTTGATTTATAGACGCTGCAATCCCCGAACAGATTCTCCACTGTGGTGATTGTACAGTTACTGCAGGGCCTCCTTCAATGCTCTGTACAGAGTATACATGCACATTACACTTTAAGATGTTTGTTATAGAAAAGAGAAAACAGAAAATACCATTAATATTAACCAACCACTAAATAACCGTGGTTAAGACTTTGCTGTATTTCCTTTCAGTCTTTTTTCTATGTGCATTTGTGGGCAAGCCCACTTACATGCACACACAGAAAACTGATATCAAACTCACACCACCTTAGATATTTAGAGTTTTGTTTTTTGTTTTTGTAAGTATGATAATTACAAATACATTTGCATAAGGGTATCTCTATCCCACTTTGTTCTAAATGACATATATATATATATATATATATATATATATATATATACACATACATACAGACATACACACACACATATATATATATATAATTTTTAATTTAAAAAATTTTCAATGCAAAAAAAGAAGGGACTGGGGATGTTTAGTGTGAATGAGGGAAGATCTACAAGAAGATGTTTGATGGGATATATGTTCCATGCAGGCAAGAACTTTGTCTTGTTCATTCTGTTAACTTTAACACCTAGAACAGTATGTGGCTTAGAACAGATAATCAAAAAAATCTCATTGAATGGATAAATTAATGAGCATCCATGTTCTCCCATGAGAGGCCATGTTGAAGATATTAGGTTAGTGCAAAAGTAATTGTCATTTTTGTCATTAACAGTAATGGCAAAAATTGCAATTACTTTTGCACCAATGTAGTAGATTAGACTTGAAGCAGAATCTGTGGGTAAAAGTTATACAGAAAGTATTTGAGATTTAATATACATAAGAATCTCATAATAATATGGCATGTAGTATAAAGGACTGGAATTTCTCTAGAGTATGTCCCTTTTTTCCAAAAGTTCTCAAGCAGACTTCAGGAAGTTAAAAATATATGAACAAAGACATATTTCAAAATATAGGCAGGCCTTGATCTAAATCTTAGAGCCTTTACTTTGCTCAAGCTCTCTAAGCTTGTTTCATTGTTTTAAAAATGAGAACATTATTATCTACCCCTTAAAACATTAAATGAGGATGAGATGAACCACTACCTATATAAATTGTTTAGCTCAGTTTTTCTACATAGCTGGTACTCAACTCATTCTGGTTAATTTTATTGCTACTATTCCCTGTCCATAATGTAGTAGAAAAGACTGTTCCATGGAATGAGAGATTATATTAGAAAATGCATAAAGGGCCTTATGAATAGATGTCCTATTCTTTGGATGGCTCATTATTCACTTATAGTTGTACTTTCAGTGAGATTAACCAAAGTTTGTCGTATGTGTGTGTGTACATGATACAGTTGGCCCTCCATATATGCAGGTTCTACATCTGTAGATTCAACAAACTATGGATCAAAAATATTTAAAAAAACACAAAACAATAAAAATAATACAACTAAAATAACCAATACAGCATAACAACTATGAAACATTTGCATTGCATTGGGTATAAGTAATGTAGAAATGATTTAAAGTACATGGGAGGTTGTGTATAGGTTATATGCAAATATTACTCCATTTTATGTAAGGGACTTGAGCATCCAAAGATTTTCACATTTGCAAAGGTCCTGGACCCAATCACCTATGGATACCAAGGGGCAACTATGTATGTATGTACAAATACACATGTGTATGTTTTTCACAGATAGTTCATTGAATGGGTTAAGCTCCAGAGGGTCTGAATAAGGTATGACTCAATTTTTCCCCACTCGCTGCCATTAAACACCCTCACTTGGCTCTGTCTTCCCTGACCCTGGAGGATTTTATAGATTCTCAGTTACTATATGCTATGCTTTTAGACCTGGAATGTACAAATGTGTGTTTTTCAATTTAACAGAGAGCTAAAGTATCAGTGACAAATACCTTAGGATAATCTATTATCAGACTTTAAAAAAATGATCTCATCTGAAATAAAACTTCAGTCTCACACACAATTCAATACTCTTTTCTTCCCTTGCCCCATGCTCAGGCCTGACTTTTGCCTTGAAAATGTACAGCAATGTAGAGCACATTGTCTATTCCTTCACAATTCTTCCCTTGCATTTCTGACTTTTGTCTTCAACTCAAATGTTGCTGACTTCAGTGCTGTTGAGGGCTAAGGGTAATGGGAAAGATGGAGGAAAGTCACATGTGAGTGATGCTGTGATAGACTAACTATTAGTGCCTTCTCTAATGGCAAGCCCCCAAATGCTGGATTTATTTTGAGGTGAACTTGAGTTCTTTGGCATCCCACATACTACACCATTTCCAGATGAATAATGTACTCTCTAGGTGATGTCTTATCTTTTTAGCTAACCTCCTAGGAGCATATCCCATACAACATATTACTCCTCAGGTCCCTTTCCTCAAGAAGATAGCCCTCCTGGTTGACATGTTTTCCAGATGATTCACATTTGGCTATCTTCCATACCATTCATTAGGCTCACTAAGGACTTGTGCATTATTGCCTTGCTAAATGATAGAAATGCTACTTATCCAACTGCTAATCTTTCTACTTTCACCCTACTATCATGGGTATTCCAGCTAACCTACTGCCTTCAAAATTCATTCAGGTAAGAAACATACTGATGTTCACATTTTCATATAAAACCCAAATGATTAAGGACAAATGAGAGATTCTCCTAAGAACTCTGATCCAGGGGCAACTTGTTGGAAATTCATCAGCTTACAAAATATATGGCATGTGGAAGAGATAACAGCCTCTTCTCTTACAGGGGTGGGTATAAACCACCTTCTATCCATCTTTAGGGAGAATGCCACAGCACTGTCAAAATCCACAAATTCCATTACTTCAATTAATGTTTTCAAATGTCTAGTTTACTTTAATATTACAAGGTGTTGGGTGTAATAGTTTCGAGACATAATTTTCTGTCTTCTAGAAAGTACTGTATCTGGCGTATCTACATGCAGTGTCTCCTTTAGTGTAATGCTTTAGTAAA